AAACATTTTGTGGGGAATGTTTGTACTACAGTTATATCCCCAAAATCTGAACACGTTTTTCAAAATAATGGAAAAATGATTTTCAGGAGTGGAAGAACAGTATATAAAAGTAGAACGTGTTCAAAAGAAAAAAGAAAAAATTTCAGTGAGTAATTTTCAAATAATAAAATAGAGAGAGTCGCTATATATTTATGGAAGTCTGTAACTCAGGAATCGTATATTTGCATTTAATTAAACCTAAATCCAATAATTGATGATTCATCTGCCGTTCAGTTTATGATTAAATCGTTTCGAAATCGGACATCGGGGCGGCTGTTTCTATAATAATAGCCGCGGCTGCTTCTAAATGAAGGTTATGACGATTTAATGTCGTTCGTTTCCTGTACTTGTTTGCAGATGTCAAAAAATTACAGCAGTTCAAACACCGTTACCTGAGCAATTAGCGAGGAAAAATCGAAAGTCACTTTTGTTTATCGAATGCCGCAGAAAAGTGTGAGAAATAAAATTACACATGGGGAAGATTCGACTTTTATTTGTATCAGTTGAAAAACAAGTTTTCAAGGTTGACATTGAAGTTATTTCATTGACGAGAATTTTTTATATTTTCATGAACATCTTTTCATAGTTAAAACAATGTTCATCAACGTATCTAAATTCAACAAAAGGGATATATGTTATATAAATATTATAAAATGGCGGATTACATATTGTTACACAACTACCTCAATATGGGTATCAAAGGACAGGCTTGACACGTAACATAGTAGTACACTTTGAAAAAGATGCAAATTCAATATGGCCGGACCTACAAAATGGCGGATTACATATAACCTTGTAATACGGAGGCACTAAATGTACTAAATAGAATGGGAAGAATTGAGTAACAAAATTAGAAACTAAAAATTCGAAAATGAAATGAGTAAAAAACATTGTTGAAATAATGCTGTAGTTAATGTGATAAGAACAAAAAAATAATTCAGAAGGTCCTAGGTAGCAGTCATTACACCACTCTTCCCAGCATTGCACGGTATTATTCAGATGAAAAAACAATAAAAAAGTCGAAATTTGTGGGAGCTAAGGACTAACGAAGTCGTCTTACCTTTTAAAGTTCAAAATAAAAATTTTGTTTTACTCATTTCATTTGTGTAGAGACACGTAGACACGTAGAGACACGCGATACTTTTCCTGAAAGCGAAACAAAGCATCTCTCGAGTTTTTTGCTTCACTCCTGAACTGTCAGAAAAACGAGCTTTTTTATGACTGCTCATATTGCATTGAAGATACCGTCCTATTCACGCAATAATTTTCAATTTCATCAGACTTTTCCGCAGCTGCAGATATGATAATATCCGATGAAGAGTAATACTTCAAAAATGTGTATCACACAGATGAGAATATAGTGTAATAAATCCTCGTTATTTTGCTTGCTTTTATACGTCTTTTTCCCACTGTTTCTTCGCTGTTTCGGGACCGATCAAATTCACGACTGCTTGCACCTGTGCTCATATATTTATTGTTGATCTACTGAAATGGTGTTTATTCAAAGGAAACATGAAAATTTACACGAATTTCCAAGTGATGAAAATAAAAGTAGCTTTCCATCACAAGTTTGGCAAATGAAAGTGGATAGAAAGTAAAATCGTATATTGGTCAGACTGAGAGAACTGATGACATTAGTTTCAAGGAACACGCTTATGGGAAAACACATAGGATGGAGACAACGATGATACTTGTGATAACTGATTTGGTGGTCTTGCAGTTTTCCAAGCCCTATGTTTCGTCTACGATTGTGGTGGATATTTTCTATCATTCGAGTCCGACTTGATAGACCTCATTCGTGGTAATTCCATCATTTCTAGAATGACTATAATTCATAGAAATGAATCCAAGCATCTGAGAAAAAATGTTGAACGAAACATAATCAGAACTGACAGTCGTTTTCCTGAAAGAGTCTGGAAACTGGAAAGTTTTAGTTAATGCAAGTTATTTTGGAACAATTTTTCATCATTTCTTCCATCCTGATTAGGCTTGATGTTTGGAAAAGCTCCAAAACCCTTAAATTTTCGAATCAATTTTTCTTACAGTTGTGATATCTGTTTTTGAGAAAATTATCGTCTTCATGACCGAAATTTTTTCTGGTAACGATCGAAACCAGAATCAACTTTGTTGGGTGGCGTTTCAAACGATCTCTTTGAAGTCGAAACGGAAAATCTAACAAAATTACGGCTTGCCATCCACACCGATTTCCCCCACTCAGTGAAGCAGTAAAGTATGCATAAAATAAAAATTAATAAACATGAGAGACAAATTATTAAATTTGTCTGTTTACTTTTCTATTGAGTTCCGCCCAAAAAACAATAAAACAACGTACTTTGATTTGAAAAAACCTCAAGTTTCTTGAATGATTTTAATATTCAGTAGCCTCAGAAAATCCGTTTTTGATTATTTAAATAACGTTTTTATATTATTTGAAGTTAGGAACGTTTTGAAGCGGGGGCATAATTATTATAATGTTCACGATAAGACATTCATACTAAAAAATGGAGTTTTGTGTTGCTTCTTTTTGGAAAAATCATTCGTATATTGATCAGTATACAACAGTATATCCGATTTTCACGTAATAATTATGCCCCCAACGTAAAAGAGGAAAATCGTCTGAGAGAAACAGTAGTTATTTAGAAGGAGTAATTAATTCAATTTTCAATTGAATTAATTACTCCTTCACCAAAAATTTAACATGTTTTCAATACCGAAAAAATAATTTTTCACCATGGAAAAGGCTTTTCAGAGGGAAGAATAATTTTGCTTTCCGAACTTGCGTAACCCACTGCCCATCCTTATGAAAGATTTATATATTTGTCCTCGGGAAATAGAGGCTCGAATAAAGGACTAGTACTTTGGAAAGGACGTACGTATAAATGTGTTTGTTAACCGAAATTATTATTTGCACAGAGGAGCTTGTTATAGATGTCAGTTATTTGAATGGCTGACCCACGGTATACTCCATGCATTTATAATGTTGAGTCAACACACCGATATTCTGTTGCCGGAATTTTCTGCTGCCGAACCGTTACACATTTTCACCGGAGTATTTGCTAAGGTGTAATATTTTTCTTTTCGTTAGTAATTGTTTATAAACAGCAGTAATGAGTTGACTTTTTTATTTATAACTTTTTCCCCTCGTTATTTACCGTTTCAAGGACAGGCAGAGTCAACAACTTTGTCAATGAAATGGAAATGTGAGCTATTCAATTTCAATCTGATGGATATCTCATTGTTTATTCATCAAGTAACCAAAAAACATCTGTTACTTGAAAATAATAACACACACTGTTAGGAAAACTCTGAACTCGTGAGAAATTCAAAAAATTCTACAATAAATTGAGGGATTTGCTTCAATCTGAAGTTTATTTTTTTCTTTCTGGTCAATAAATGTACTTAAAAATTGATTTATTATAGCTTCACATCGATTAGAAAGTTATCAAGCAAATAATATTCAATGAAACACTTTTCCCAACTCATTTCATATCTGGAGAGACCGAAGTCGAAATCCCTTTTTATATAAGAATTAATGAACCGTTTTAAAATGACATTCGAAGCATACATCCATGAGCTATCTGCCTAATTTAACTGCAAACTGAGTCATTCGTAACATGAGATTTACAGATCGTGATTAGCCCTTCTGGGATTTGATTACAGAAATCGGATCATATTTATTCCAGGAATAATGATTTGAGATTTGTTCGAAGCGGAAGATTTACTTTGGAATGAAATTGCAATTCCAAGAATGGCATGAATTCAAAGTACACAAGTTACTGTTGAAATTTCGAAAACTAATTTTCAAATTAGAAATTTGTCGTCTTGCTAAAGTGATGAGAATGTATATCGCTCAGTATAGTTTTCTGAACGAATCAATGTTTGTATTTAGCTTCTGTTGAAATTACCACAATAGATCCACAAATACATCTTCAACACCATTAATAATTATTTGTCTCTCGCTGGCAGAAAGTTTGCTAATGAAAATAGGTAATGTAGCGGGGAAATTCTTTATTCAGTCATCAAATATCGCGTAGATTTAAAAGAAGGAAGAACCCCTACCGCGAGCATCATTAAGATGCTCCCTAAATCCTGAGTTCTTCACCCCAGTGAGACTTACTGCCAATGTCCTAATTAAAACAAATGTATTTTTATAATTATTGGTTTCGATGTTTAATACACAGACAGCAGCTGCTGTCGGAATTTATATTTTCGGGAAATATCAAATCGCCAGATTGCATGTTCCTTGTATTCGTTGCAAATGTAATGCATTTATAATGAAATTATAATGGAAACGGTTTATGGATATAATTGAACCCGTTTGATTATTGAGGTGTCCATTTGTTTTTTGAGCAATTTGTCGACGGTAATTGCCAATTCGAAAAAATTAATTTCAACGTTCGATGGTTCAGTTACAAAGTATTTCCGACGTAATTGGTGTGAAGTATCGATCAATCCAAAAAAATCTTTCTGAAATGTAATTCAATGTTCACCTATCGAATTGAGAGCCCTAATAATTTCCCAATTCTGAAAGAAGGGATGTCCAAAAGCTCTACTCTTGAACATTCCTTTGGGAGAACAAATTTGACTTTTCTTTTACAAAATTATCGAATATTTGAGATTTTCGAAAATATAAGCAAAGAGCATGATTTTTAAAATAGAAATAATAATAAATCATGAATATCAAGTGTATGTTTTACTTACGAATATATTGGTGGTAATTCGGTAATACTTTATATCACTAGTTTAAATTTCATCATGTGATCAGCTCCACTTTTCAACATTTTCATAATGGAAATTTCCGGAAAGTAAAACACGTAAATGTTTGATGGATGATAATAATATTAGGTCTTTAATCGTGGAAGGAGGTTATAATAGCAATCTACATAAAAAAAGATGAAAGTAAAATATTATTATTATTACATTTTATTTGAGACATTTGAAAATCGATATTTTTGTTACAGGTTACGGGAAGAAAGGTGTGATCCCGATAGACCATTACCTTTGGAACAGAAACCTAGAGATCTCAGTCCTAGAAATGGTAAGTAATCCAACTTTGTATTAAAGCTATACAGTGCGTTTTAAAATGACGCACCCACTTGCTCTAATAAACGAGTACTTAAAAGAAATGTTCGATTTAATTTGATATCCTTCGTAGTATCCAATCTGCTAGAAAAATTCATAATTTGACTATATTTTTGATGACAAATATTCCTAAAAATTTTTCAGAGCTGAAATGAGTTTTTATACATTTTAATTAAATTACAAATATTTTGAGTACATGCTTATTGAAAAAATATTTGAATTGAAACAAAAATATTGCTAATAGTTGAATCATTTCAGATTTATTTTTGTAAGTGTGTAAACTGTCTGCATTTGATTATTTTTCCAACAAATTATTCTAATAATCATGAATTGGTTCACAGATTGGCGATATAAGACTTTCAATAATTCGTCAAGTTGGTATAATGAAGGTTAGTATTTTTTATGAATGTTACACTGTTCCCAAGTAGGGATGGTCTCTCTCCAGTCCACCCCCACTTCTCCACTTTTCGTCATTACCCAGTCGACCAATCAGAATCTACCGCGCGTGCAGCGGGAAATTCAAACCACGCAAAACAGTGGAAACGCACGCAAAACGGTCGAAACGCATGCAATACAGTCGAAACGCATAGAAAACGGTCGAAATGCACGTACAATGATCGTAAAGTGCGCAAAACAAACGTATTTTAAAATGTTATTGTTGAATACTTCGCTCCCCCATTTTCGAACGTCAACTCCACAACACATAACTTCTCGGCACTTCTGGGTGTGATCTCTTACCTTTCCTGATGATGCTAACTTGGTGTTCTTAGCCTCGACACCAACGTAAGATATTGGAAGTGATTGCGATTTGTTGATATTTATATCGGTTGTTTTATCGAGGCTGAAGACACCAAGTTAGCATCATCAAGAGAAGAAGGAGATCACACCCAAAAGTGTCGGGAAGTTATGTGTTGTGGAATAAACGTTCGAAAATGGGGGAGCGGAGTATTCAACAATAACATACGTTGTTTTGCGTACTATACGACCGTTTTACGTGCGTTTCCACCGGTTTACACGTGTTTCGACCATATTGCGTACGTTTCGACCGTTTTGCGTGGTTTGAATTTCCCGCTATACGTGCGGTAGCCTCTGATTGGTCGACTGGGTAATGACAAAAAGTGGAGGAGTAAGGGTGGACTAGAGATTGGCCATTCCTACTTTCCCAATTCCCAAAATGCAAACGGAATAGTCATCGCTTAGCTAAACATATTGATTTTCCACATGAGACTTTCTTGCTTGAGAATCTTTCAGTTTCAACAGTTTTGCTTTCAAATATGTCAAATATTTGTAAAACAACTTTCATTGTTATTAATTTGAAAATCCATAACGAATTTACCAAGACTTTCTGCAATGAAAATGCTGCGTATAAACATAAAAAGCTAAAAAATTGAGTGATAGATTATTTACTTACTCTGTTTCACTTGTTATCATTTCAATTATTGTTTTCTTGTGTGATGAATTGTATTTTCGGACATTATGTTTTCAATGTCATCGACTCTATGGAATTACATCCTAATACGGAATTGGGTTCTATTTGGGTTCTATGAATTCATATATTCCTTAGTGGGTGGTAATTCGATCAAATATTCGATTGTTTCATTTTGTAATAGATATAACACGCTGATTCAAAACTGAAAACTGAAACTTTTGAGTGTATTAGGAAAATAATATATTTTCTCTGTAATTATCATTTTAATCAATTTTTTTAATAATTCTATCAATATATCATTTAAGACAAATTATATTCAATATGCAGACTAACAAATTCTATGGTCTTCTTATACTTTATAATTTATTGAATGTTTGGATTTACGTTTTGAAAAACTAGATTATAAAATTGATTAGGGGAAATCAAATAATGATTCATTGATTATTCAATATCATTTATATTTTCTGCAGAATAGACTATTGCTACGTCATCTGTATCCAATTTCATACAACCTTCAGTTTTGATCAGGGACAATAAATTCAAATATATTGAAAATATTTCTTTCTGTTATTCATATAATTTCCAAAACAATACTGTCTGTGATGCAAGCATCAAAGATCTTCCATCAATCTGGAAAAATTAAAACCTACTTTGCATTTTCATCAAATTTTATTTTTGTAGCTGGAACTAGATCAAAAGTAGCAAATACGTGGTTTGACTAGAGAATAATAAGACTTCTGAAGTGACTCCCTTTATTTTTTCCTTTAAAACTTGCACCTTATAACATTTAATATACTTCTCTCCACTATCCCCACCGTTGACAACTTTGACACTATATCAGCTGACTTTTTTGAATTCTGTTAAGCTATTATCTTTTTTGAAATATTTGGTTTTGCTATACCACTCTGAGGATACTTTTGTTTGAATAACAATACGATGAATCCACCCAGAAGTTGTCCATATAATTTTGAGAATTGTGAACTTTGAAACTTCCTTGTGCAGATTAGGACGTTTGTCCCATACATTTTCTGTTGTGACACAACTCCCGAACACGATTCTTTCTCTTCAACTGCCACTGAAATTTGTTTTCATTTGTTGCCTCGCAGAGTTTAGAGTAGTATAAAACCAACTAACTGTTGTGTGTGTGTTTTTTGTCTGTAATAAATCCCGAAGGGTTGGCTCAGATTGATGCGTTCGCTGGAAAGACCCGTACATTCCGATTTATTTCGAGACTTATCCTGGGATATTCGTTTCCATTTCTGCATATGCGTATTTAATTGTGACCCCCCGACAGTAATTTATTACCGAATAGATTGGATTGTGTATCGTCCGGCCGAAAGCCACTTTTACTGCCATCAATTAAAATCACGGCCGGTGCCCGGTCAACTTTTATTTCTTCGGCAAATGTTGTCCCGTGTTCAATATTGGGAATGGTTGCATTGAATGAAAAACTGTTCACATGATGCAGATTCAATTTGTTGAAGTGAACGTGGAATATAAATGGTATTATTATTTTTTTCTATAAGTCCAGTGGGTTTCTTGTTCCAATGTGAGTTGGATTTTTGAGTCGTATTTCGAATATTTTCGAGAAATAAATAGTGTCTAACAAAAAACAAGAATGAAAACGTAAAAAACTGAAAAGATAATATTTTTGGGAAAGATTAGTTCTCTGAGAAAAAACCTTCATTGTTTTTTAATTCTTCATCATTAATGTGGGGAGCTTTTAAAGAAAACGTGCTGAAAATAGCAGATCAACAACTGACACATAAATTTATTAAAAAAAAGGGTGGCAGATGTAAAAAAATAAACCATTTTTTAAAAGATTGATTGGAATAATGACGTTGAAGTTCATCTTCTAGTCTCCTCTAACTTGATTTCTCACTCGAAATCAAGTTGTTATAGTCCCTCATAACTGAAATTTTTTTACCGCACCACTGATAGGGCTTTCCATTAGAAAAAGAATATCATTCACTCACATATGTTGCTAGTGAGGAAAATTGACCAATGTCACTGTTCTTGATACAGCCATTAGAATCATTTTGATTTCTATTGGAGTTTTGGTTCACGGGATGCATGTCTATCGGATATAATGCAATACCCTTCGTGGTATCAGCCAGAGGAGTACTTGTTTTTGACAGGAATTTGTCGGATCCATTTGAAATGGAAACATTCAACTTTTTTAGCCTTCTCTGTTGTTATTTTCCAGAATTTTCGAAAAAATTAACAATTTCCATTCACTTCAAGTTATGTAATCATATAAAACACATTATTGATATCCAAGCAACTAAAAAAAAAATATTGATCGATAATCAATTTATTCACGTCTATTTCTCTGTTGTTGCAGTATCACCCATAGAGCACAGTCCCGTTCTCAACTTATCAAAAAGCGGAGGCGGCAGTGCGGGTTCTCTTGGAGATGCTGACCATTCTGAGAGTGAGGCTGATGGACCAGATGTTCCTCCTTCTCCCAGATCGCCAAGGTCGGCTGCCGAAGACGAAGAAGACGATAACATATCCGACCCGGAGGATGAGGACGAGAAGGACCAAGGTGAGATATTGATCGATCCATTTTCCATCCTCTAGTATCATACTGAAAGATGATGACCAATTGATTTGTTATTGCATTAGTCAAGAAGTTGCAGGCATTGTCTGTTGTCACTACTTCATAACTATTTGTTAATCACTAAAAATAGTTCGTTCAGCTTCATTTTGATGATATGAAGTGTAGATTCATGAAAGGATATTTTTGCTGCTGCTCATCTTCTCTGTTACAAGATGTGGACGATAAGATTCAAATCTGAAGCAAATGGAACTTCAAACGTTCAAGCCAGTCTCTATATACCTACACAGTAGGTTTAATGGACATTTTTGATGTTCGCTCCAACTTCGGAAGAGGAATGAAATACTCTGAAAGAATTCCGATTTTCAATTGTGGAATATCATTGACTTTAGGTCGATGATGGTCACTATCTTGCACTGATGAGTGGCTAATAAGCCCGAAACCGGTCTGCAAGTGTGCCCGTTCCATAATTGAAGGTCGACTCTTTCAGTTGTATTGCCAATTGCATATGCAGGACATTTTCTGTGAAGATTCCTGCACTGACGCCTGTCTGATATAATCCAACGCCCTTCGTGGTATTAGCCAGGGGAGTAGTTGTTTTCTGATAGGCGTCAGTCCATTAAACCTACTGTGTAGGTATATAGAGACTGGCTTGAACGTTTAAAGTTCCATTTGCTTTAGATTTGTTTATTGCCAGTCTTCAAGCATAGCCCATTGACTAATAAGATAAGATTCAAGAGTGTATTTGACGTTGCTGTTGGCCAAAACAAGTAAGCCTGTTTCATCGTCGAACCAAATGAGCATAGAGTATCGAAGGTTTCTCCACCAATGAGAATCAGCAATAAATACATCATTTCAATATGCATCAGTGCTAATTCCGCCTTTCTTTTCCAATCTTTACCAATCAGGCATTTTATTTTCCATTTACTCATGTATTGGCCTTGAGTTGATGATGATATCAACGTGAAGAAATTCAAGCGGCCTGGTTTTGAAGATCGTTCCCGGAGATTTCAAATTGTGCAGTTTCTAGCCCGTTTTAATTATCTCGGTCTGTGCCAGTGTAGTTATAACAGTGCCATCGTTCACCTGCATTGAAGGTAAGACTGAAAACAGGCTTTTAGTGCAGTTTTGGAGCCATTCGTTGCAACAATAACCTAAGGAATATTTTGGCGAATGCTCCGGTGCAGGCCGGGAGGTAACAACTGGATCTCCGGGATTTTTCTACAAGGAAATTCTACTTGTTAGCTGCTTAACGTTTGACTGGGGGTGTACACCTTACCACAATCGCATCCCCTGGAACTCTGGTGAGTTTATTAAGCAGCGCAAAAATACCAGGTCGTCAAGAGGTCATTAATTGGAATCCAAATATGAAGAAAACGGCTGGAATAAATCAAATACGCCGGTTTCTTCAAGAGAGACAACTTTGAGAACCTCCACGTCGGAAAAGACTACTCCATCAGTTAGGGCGAACTCAGGAGGGAAGCTCCCCCGCAGCTCCGGGAGCAAGACAACGCCGGGTTCCGGCCCGGATTCGCTCAGGAGTGAGCAAAGCACGGAGAAAACTGTTACCTTGACCCAAACCGGTGGACAGGGCTCACTCCGCGCGCCACTGGAGCCACACCAGTGTGACAAGTGTGGTCAAATAAGTGGCTCACAGCGAGCGTTACTGCGCCACAAGCAAACCTGTGGAATTAGAGACAGGCAGCACTGCATGCACTGTGGAAAATTTTACGAAACTTTCGGGGGAGTCAGATTACATGAGCGAAGGGCTCACCCCGAAAAGTATCATCAGGAGTTGCATATACGGATCCCTGAGGAAGAGTCAGCTGTGATGAGACGCCTGGCCGCTATTGAAGCAACTACACCGCCAGGCCGCCCATTTATATCATACGTGGAAAGTGCAACGAAGCTGACTAAAGACCAGATCCGCCATAAGCGTTGCAAACCCCTGTACGCCACGCTATTGGCCGAAGCCAGGGATAGTGCGAGGAGGAATTCTTTAACTGGTCTCCTTGCTGGAAACCGCAACTCCTGGAATGATGATGATAGCAAACTGATGATAGCTCCCTATAATCAGTTTGCTGCCAACTCCTAGTCTTTAGAATCCACCTACTTTGTAGGTGCCCTAGATTATGTTTTTTGGAATTGTTTTGCTGGGAAATGAACAAAATACAATACTATTCGATTATAAGGTTCACATTCCTCGGCAGACTTTTTAACTTAACATAATTACATTTCGTGTTCACGAAAGTGGGTCATGGCTTAGGTTCTGGATATCTGAATTGTATGTCATGATGAATTGTTGTGAATGCTTTCTTTGGTCAGGTTAGGTGAAAAATATAAGTGAGGTCTCTGTCAGAACTTAGAACACCTTTTATTAACTATATTCTTGAACACGCACAGAGTTAAATCAGTGTAGTTAGATCAGTATACTTTTGGCAAGAATGTGCTTGCATTGCAGTGGATTTGGTACCTCAGTAAGTTCAGACTAAGAGTAGTAATTCAAGGGGGCTATTTTTGGAACCCGAAATTTTTGACCTGTAGCAACAAACGTGTTTTTGAAGTTATACTGTCAACTATGAATTGTGATCCATAATTATTTTTGGTTCATAATAGTTTTAAACAAATTTTCTGCATATTTTTGACTAATGATGCCACAATGAATTGGATTCTAGTCGTCTCTTGATGATGTTGACTTGGTTAATCACACTCAGAAAGACATTACCTTCTTCTGGTGTGGAAAAGATGTATTCAATACATTTAATGATGCTTCCTCAGGAGACATTCCTAATTTGTTGATCCTAAAAATTCTCAAGGAAATGTAGTTGAGCAAACCACAACAGTTTGATCTATGTTGAAATATTTTTACGGAATACGAATTTTAGTGTTGATGAAGAAGATGAAACTAATCACAAAACACGATATTTTGATATTCTTTTCATTCGTAGGAGCGTTGAGTTGAAGTAATTTTTTATATGAAACTGTATCTATATATGACACGTCGAAGCATCGGAGGAAACAATTACAGAAGAATGAGAGACACCAAAGGAGCTTTGATTTAGCGTACCTCTTTATAATCTCCATAATCAGAAGGTAGTACCGCACTTCTTACTGAGGAGAATTGTTTTTGGCAATGTGCTACCAATTTAGACGTTGCTCCATAGGAACCAAGAGCTTCCAATGTCGAGAATATTTTTATGTATGAAGGGAACCACATAAACTGGGTGAAAATATGTTTTTGGTGTTGTATGTAGAGATACTGTTTCATGATAAGTGAGAAGAGATGATTGGTATACTCTTGTGTCTCTTGTTTTGTGAGTGCTCAGCGAATCTGTAACAATTAGGTATTTTGGACTATTCTTTCCCTCCATGCACTTTGATGCTCTCCAAATAGCATATACCTTCCCTGTGGATATTGTGCTTTCTTTTAAGACATAGAAGAATGACTTGGAAAAACAATGCATCATTTGAATCATATAATTTTTTCCTCATGGAATTGAATCGAATCTGTAAAATGATTTGGAGATATTATGATGTTATTAAATGGGTGTATGATTCTGTTGTATTTCAACATTCTTGTATGAAGTACTGTTCATTACTTTAGTGAATATCATGTTGTTTCTCTGATGAACATTTCCATTGAATAGAATGTTTCCATCATTTCTCATTATGATTGTGTGCCACTACGAAAATTTTTCAATCTGCCTCCAGAAAAAATCCTATCAGGATCGACCGATAAACCACACAGACAATCTAAACCATGCTCCGGTAAAACATCGGTAACTCGATTCCTCATTTAGGTAATCAAATACTCGCGTCCGAGGACCGGTTTCTACTATCGCGTTTCTTCCCAACAAGAGAGAGTTACCTTTTTCGCAGACACGCTACAGTCGCTGGGGGCAAAATCCGGCCAGACTAAGGCCAGACAATACATCGGAAAAATTCGATGATTGAGGCGATATGGGGCTGTATTGTTTATTGTGGACGAGCGAGTTGAAATTCTGGAAGAAAGAATTCAAATTGATTGAACGTATGGTTCACCGAGACGAGAATACGATGAGAATCTGGGAAAAATTAGACTGGTTGGTATACGCTGCTCAACGAGTGCGGTGAATATCATACCATGTTTCAAGTGATTGAGTTATTTAGAGTTTGAAGAGTATACGAATACAAAGAGACCAGAAAAAAATAACCAAATTGATTTTTCTTTTAAGTTTTAAGTGCTTTGTCAAATGCTCATTACGTCTGAAAATGTTTTTTTTCATTACTGGTTCAAACAAAATGAAAAACAATATAGAAAGAGGTAGTTTCTTTTGAGAAGGTTTTGATAAAGAGAATAACGAATATGATGAATCTACAAGAAACTGTAGGCTGTCCATAGATTACATGAAGTCTGACCCATGAAATATTTTTCAAAAAAATTGAAGAGCTACCAGCTTGTAAAACCACCAAACGGCATTCTTTTCAATGCAAAAGTGTGGAAAATTAAATGTGATAGTGTCATATAATCATAACTTCATTATATTTGCACATTATCCAACAAATTCGATACAATTTTTAAACCATGTGACGGGATATTTGAAAGAAGACTGTAAAATATCACAAAAGACCCGTTTGATTGATGAAAACAATGAAAAAAGTTTCGATAAAAAAGGGATTGTGCTTCAGAACGCACGACTGAAGTAAATCTTCTTTATCTCCATCTATGTTTATACACATGTATATAGGTCTACATATATTAATTTTCTTCAAATATTTAAATTCATTATGGGTTTTCATTGATGAACTAACATTTTTGAATTGATTTTTAGTTTTTGTTTGTTATTTCCACTATTTCCATTATCGCATACATCAGTACTGTACATTACTGTGGTTTATTGTAAGACCGAAACAATAGGCTTATGATATGAAAAATAATATACGTATGTTCTCGAATAAGAATTAAAAAGATATCTAGAGACAACTGCATCGATTGTTTTTAAGGTCAATACTTTTGCAAAACTAATGTTTGGTGCGGTGTACTTGATGATCACATAGTTGGACCGTATTAATTCACAGAAACTTCAACAGTTATGTATCACCAAAGTTTTCTGGCTCATAATATAAGTGAGGTTTTGGATAATATGACTGATAGTTATGACTCTCCCTTGGAAGGCTCACCAGTACACGATAATGTTACATTAAAGCAGCGCGAAATCAGATATACGCGATTGGGATCACTACTGGCCACCATGATCACCCGATTTAAACCCATTGGATTTTTTATGTGTTGTCATTTGAAGCAAACATATTTACAAACATATGATATGGCAAAACACATGCGGTTTTGTTACTTGAATACGTTTTGAATTTCCATGAAGTATCGGCCAATTCCATCGTGAAAATTAATATTTTCTTTTTTTTCAGACATGGACGACGGCGACCTCCCTCTGCCGGCTGCCCCGGGAAGCGATTCGCAGCAAGCTGCCCTAAACTACTCCACCCTAGCAAGCGCAGTGGCGTCCGCGAACGGCCCCAGCCAAGACCCGAGCATCTCTTCCACGGAAACCCTGCTGAGAAATATACAGGGTCTTCTGAAAGTCGCAGCCGACAACGCCAGGCAGCAAGAAAGACAAATCAACTACGAAAAAGGTACAAATAGCAACATGGTGTATCTCCTTTCGCTAGCGCAATATTACATGTACTTGGCGGCGACGCAGAAATGTTGAGATTTTTTTTAATTTTTGTCATTCAAGACTGTACATATTTATTGAAATTTGCTAGAAATATCGACGATCGTTATAGTAGATTATTGTATAAAAATGTTTAATAGGAAGCCTTGTGTGTATATTCTTCAGTAGCTTGATCGACCGGATAGAGACAGTTGATAGATTTTGTATGTTCTCTAGCAAAAATACGTGGGAGGATTAGACGGAAATTCATTCGCCAATTTCGATTTTGATCCAACCCCACTTCAATCCTACAAGAAGTCTGCATTTGAGGAAGAACTACGTTTATTCTTTTTGTAATTCATGAGTTTCTCAAGTTGAAAATTTACTGAGAACTTTTAATAAGAGATCAGGTCAAATAATCCACAATTATCCAATCTATAAAGTGACGCATAAATTCGTTATTAGCTAAATATACATGAAATTAATAAAAACATCTGAAAATTCATGAAACTGGTCAAATGTCACTGTCAACACGACAGAATTTTATACTCCACGTCTCCACGTTGAGAGTCCTTGGAGAGACACCACTTCCTTCAACAATTTTAAATTGAAGGAGGATACGTATAGTATCTCTCATTTTCGGATTATTGTGTGCGTAGTAACCAGTTTTCTTGCTGAATTTCTCAATTCTTGGGTTAAAAATACTATTCCTACATATTCTGTTTCGAAAGTAAAAATCTATCTAAATAAATTTTTTTCTAATGGGTGGATTGTGGATAGGTGTTGAAATTAAGCGCTCTGCCCGTTTTCCCGATATGAACCAGTGTGACTATTCTTTTGAGGTTATGCAAAATCTAACGTGCAACAGAGAAAATAGTATGATAAAATAATATTTGTGATTAAATAATATCCAGTAATGCCTCCATTGTCAATAAGAAAGGGGCACCCTATTTGAATACTTGATTTTGAAGGTTTCGTGTTGTTTTTTCACTTAGTGACTTTGAAGCACTATATATTTTCTATGAGCAAAAGAGAAAAATACGCATCCTCGTTTTGTTACTTCAAGAATATTGAGGAATAACGTATGAGACTATGCTTGAAAACTGTACTTTGAATTTTCAAATGGCGTGTTTTGTGCATTTTGATATTATTCATTCAGTTGAAAATAATTTTTAGGGTTACTTTATGGACGCTCTGTATTCAGAAGTGTAAAAGATAAAGAGACATTTGAAACTTCTGAAATAAAATTTCTCAACAAACATAATTTTAAATAGGAAAGAAAAAAACTCAGTACATTTGTTGTAATTTTAAGAAAAGTGCCAAAAACCAATTTACGAGCTGGAGAATGAAGACAAAAAACACAATTACTTTAGGAATATTGACTGCATCAGTCGTACCAACCATATCATTAACCTTAAAAACGTAAAATTCAGTGATATGTAACCAAAAAGCAGCTCCGTACATTTTTTAACATTTCTATAAGAAAAATGTTGATTATTGAAGTGAAAAGTGTCAAAGAAGGAGGAATAAGGTGTAAAGGTGACCTAGTGAATAAATGCTTGTGTTTTTAAATAGTTTATTTAGTGAAAATGAAGGCTGAAAAGTTGCCTTTTCTGAACTTTGAAGGGCCGTAACTTTTTAAATAAGGGAGAGCGCAGCTTTTTTCTTTCGGATTCGTAATCTACGCATCAAAATACGTAAGTACAGTCAAACATTTTTTCAAAATCGCCGGGTGTCCAAAAAAACGAAAATTTACCCTTTTTTTCTTTGGAAGATTTCCACGTTTTTTATGTATGAAGACGAAAAAGGAAAAAGCCCAAACCTTCTTCTCCCAAGAATATAAATATTTCTCAAAAGTATTCATACTAATTTTCCAAGGAAATTTTTTAACAAAACATTTCAAATCGAACCCCTTTCTGTAATATGATAGATACACAAGAATATTGTCACAGGAAAATCTTATGATGTTGGCATACCATTCAGAAGCCCATTGTTAGTAATCGCTTGCAAAGCAGAATGCAAAATTCAAAATATTTCCAAAGTTAGATTTCACTTTTCTGATAATTTAAAAATATAACCTGTGTCTCAACCAGATTTGTGCACGAATAAAATCGTCATCTTTGTATGGACGTGGATAATCATCAGGTATTGAATAAACTCAGTAGTAAATAAGAAGGTAAAGTAAATGCTTATGTGGTTTTTACGGAAATATCGAGTTAATCTATGAAATTCAAAGATTTTACTCTACTAATATTTTGGTATTTTATCGATCAGGTACTTCCTCAAATGCTTGAAGGATTTGTATATAAAGTTTTCGAATCAAGTAGCTACCGGTTTTGTGCACATATCGAATCGATAGTAATTTAGCTTTTTTAGATGTACATACAAAAACGTTTATTCGTCTGGTAGGAAATCTTAAGTTAGAGACAGTAGTACTTTGAAAAAAAGGGCACACCATTTTAAAGGAACTGACCCGGAGTTTTCAGTAATGGAAATTTTAGTATTCTGTCAGATGGATGAATTTAGGAATATAGTACTGTGCCATGATTTCAAGTGTTGCTAGAAGTAGACATTTATTTATAATAATAATAGTTAATTTAACTTGAGTATTTATATGAAAACGACTCTTGAAAATTTTGATATAGGTGTAACGTTTTATAACTTCCTAGGATCGAGTTCTGAAGTTTCAAAATTATTTCACTTCACTTTTCCTACACCGTCATCAAAACCGTAATGAAATTCAAGGAAGTTGAAATGTTTTTCGAGAAACTATGCTCGATTTCAGACCACGAATATATATCAAAATTTTCTACGCACCAAAAATTCAGTCCAACAAATCCATATTATGGAAAATGGCTGGCAACTAGAACTAGGTAAGACTATGTGTGATGTACATGTTAACAATTCCAAATTGAAAATAAACGAAATTATTTAAAAATTATGTCTTTCATTTCACAAATTTCGAAAGTCCTTCTCTTTTCAGTTTCTCTTAATTGGCTGTCGGGTATTTCTCTCGAGGAAAAAGAATAAATAGGTAGGTGGCACTTTTTTCATTATTATTCCGTTTTTCGATATTTACAAATCTCAACCAACTAACAGATACTAAATTCCAAAAGTGAAAGCATCCGCTTCAGTTGCTTTATGAAATAAAATGTACCAGGATTTGGTCATGGAAGGTTAAAAAACAAGTAAACACTAATGTTAATGTAGAACACAAAATTTGAAAAATACTTTAAATTTTTTTAATGCACATCAAATGAAACTGCAATATTGAATACATTTTCAAAACATAGTCAATTGGTGAAAATGTAAACAAATACAAACTCCGGAGGCTAGGTACATTTGATTAGCGATTGTTTTATTTTTTATATTGATACACTTGAACATGTGTTCATAGTTTCAGTTGTTAAGCATGTGTAGTTTGTTGGTGAGAGGCATAAAAGTTCGGCGATTTTCTGCTCCTGAAAAAAATTGATCAGAGAATTTGCATGAAAACATTTTTACAAAGTTGTACGAGTTTTTCACAAAAGGTCGAGGATATGCCATTAAGGACTCTCGCCTTGCCCAGCACATAATCAACCAATGAAAATGTTGAGGAAGTGAAGATTGTTGTTTTGGGCATGAAGCGCAATTTGCTGAATGACATCAACGGCGATCCAGGTTTGCTTGAAAGGGCCATAACTGGTGGTACGTAACTACGTAACAAAAATTGGACCTGAAGGTACCTCATGATCATTCATTCAAACAAAATAACATAATAATACAATTTAGGATTTAAATTCTTCATCAGAAACTTATGGAAAACAAGAGGTTTATTGCTTTCAATGCAGAATATGAGCTAGAGAGTGGATCAAGTAATTAAAACAGTATTTTGACAATTATTTTGAACTAAATGTATGATAAAAAAATCAAATTTGTGAGATATCTACACCTTAGAGAATTTACTAAAAGTAAGTGTTTTATTTTTCTTCAGTTCAAAGATAATGGAATCTCAAATGATATAAGGCAAGAATAATATCATTCACAAACGCACAGAGAATTTCAACAGAAAATAAGAGCAGTGAACCTCAATGGAATATGGAACCCCATTTTAACGAATTCGAGAATAACGAACAGAATGACAACAGGCAGCAAGATTGTTAATGTTCCAGGTTCAAGTACAGGTACACGTGCAGGTACAAGTACAGGTACAAATTCAGGTACCAATATACAACTGATTACCTGACAAGGCATGAATACGCTTTGCGAAGCCTAAAAGTTAATCATCGGACAGCAATCCAAGATGGTTAAACTCTGAAGAAGCTAGCCACTCGCGCCAGCGAAACGTCAGGAAGAAATTCCGAAAATCCACGGCTTTCAAACTTGAAAAACAGTGACACAATATCATTCAGTTTCAATTTACAGAATGTGACATCTTTAACCAAGCAACTGTTCTCAATAAAACAGCTATCCACTTCTGCTATTCAAAAAACACTGATCTGAGATAGAAATCTTCAATACATCAGATGAATAGAAATGAAACGCATGCTGAACAATTTACTCTCTCATTTACTTGACAAAAATCAGATCCCCTGTATTGGTTCAAAAAGTTATTGAAATAAGGCGAATTAGTGAAATAGCAAACTTCTTATAATATTAATAAACTCAATTTTTTGAAAATTGTATTCAATCTATTGATGAGAAATAACTATTTGAAATATGTTCCACAAATATCAGTTATTTTCCGTGGTTGAATATATTTGAAATTGATTATTACTATCATTATTGTGTTTATCGTTCAGCTAGCCTCCTATTGTTTTTTGATAGATGAGTTTTATGAATGAATAATATATGTATCATCAGTTCTCTTTCTCAAAAGAGACCAAGAAAAATCAGTCTTCTCTCACTGATAATATAAAACCGGAGTGAAATACTAGCAACTCGAGCAGCGTTTTGGGCATTGCGACCGTTGCCACATCGCGTTTGGCAATGCATACCGCAGTAGAAGATGAAACGTCAGGCATAAAAACCTGCAGACCACGGGACAAAACCCAGAAACTAGCTTTCACATAGAAAATAGTTCGAATATGAATTTTTTTTAGGTGTAATCGGCATCGACTACATTGGTCATTAGCCTCTTGTCCTGGGTAGACAATGGTAAAAATTTCCTGAGCCACCTGGG